AATCATACGGTTGTTGATATGCAAGTGTGAGATTTGAATTAAATGTCGGATCCAGTACCACGTGTAATTATGGACACCATTATGTAGACAATTATGTACATGTAACACTTCCCATATAAAATGCGCGTTGAAAAGTTTCCAATCGGTAATTAGGAGGCAATGGATGCCTTCATTTTAAAGGCATTAAATTCCATTTATTTATCCATTATTGACTTGCAAAACTAGTTTAGTACCAAGTGAACTTTTTGCTTATTGCTACTGACCTTAATATTAAAATATAAGACCTAGACTAGCAAATAGATCAACTGAAAAGGTGCTAGCCACTCAAGGAATCTGAAGTCAAAGCCTTTTGTCTCGAAGCCATGGAAATTCTCGTTGAAGAGAGTAATGTTTAGTGGGTGGATGCCCTCGTCACCGTAAGTCTGAAGATAGGTAATGACCTTATTATTGAAGATAGGTAATGACAAAATTTGAGTTCAAGGTGGCAAAATTCTTCTATTTGCATTTTAAATTTACAGTGATATACCATTTGACGTGTGCATGAATTAATACAATATATATGATGACGAATCGTGAAATATGCTATTGTAATTTTTGATGGAGTTGTGGATGGGCTACAAATCTCGATCATGCCAAAAGAATTATTTTTGCAATGTCACAAAGTATTCAACAAAATTCTTAGCTTGGATCTCTCTTATTAGAAGTCCATTTTTATTTTTTTATCATCATCACTATTATTAGAGACAAGCTCACTTGTCCGAGCCTAGCTTGTAAGACCTCGCATATTTTAAATTACCCTAACATGTGGATTTCTTAATATCAGAAGCGACATTTTGAAATCCTCGTTTTTTGAATAAAGGAAGATGTAGTATCTTAGAGTCCTTGCTCCTTGAAAAAAGAGATTGATAGACATTGATGGAGTCTGCTGGACTTATTCCCATTTCTACGTTCATAAAGTAATGGACGGTAGAAAGAGCTAATGGCATTGCAGGATTTTGTGTAAGCTCTATCACAACTTTCTTCAACAAAATAAATTGATATCTTCAATTAAATGCGGGATTGGCTACAAATTTTATATGATGTAGTATTTTGCTTTGGCAATGTGCAAGGTAAAATCTCCCGATTAAATCTCGGAATCGTGATATTGCATGTTGAATATTTGATAAAATGATGAGTGTTGGGTTGCTTCTGTCGGTTGTTTTGGGCCTATACCTATTCAAAATCTATTGCCCTATGGTCGGTATTATTTTAATGCACTCTATTTTTTCACCAGAACTAAATAGCATGACATGGAAATTTGGTATTTTATTAGTATAAAATAGAAAATTCTACTTTTACATAATTATTGCACATAATGATGTCCATAATGTGATGTGACAATCATACGGTTGTTGATATGCAAGTGTGAGATTTGAATTAAATGTTGGATCCAGTACCACGTGTAATTATGGACACCATTATGTAGACAATTATGTACATGTAACACTTCCCATATAAAATGCGCGTTGAAAAGTTTCCAATCGGTAATTAGGAGGCAATGGATGCCTTCATTTTAAAGGCATTAAATTCCATTTATTTATCCATTATTGACTTGCAAAACTAGTTTAGTACCAAGTGAACTTTTTGCTTATTGCTACTGACCTTAATATTGAAGATAGGTAATGACCTTATTATTGAAGATAGGTAATGACAAAATTTGAGTTCAAGGTGGCAAAATTCTTCTATTTGCATTTTAAATTTACAGTGATATACCATTTGACGTGTGCATGAATTAATACAATATATATGATGACGAATCGTGAAATATGCTATTGTAATTTTTGATGGAGTTGTGGATGGGCTACAAATCTCGATCATGCCAAAAGAATTATTTTTGCAATGTCACAAAGTATTCAACAAAATTCTTAGCTTGGATCTCTCTTATTAGAAGTCCATTTTTATTTTTTTATCATCATCACTATTATTAGAGACAAGCTCACTTGTCCGAGCCTAGCTTGTAAGACCTCGCATATTTTAAATTACCCTAACATGTGGATTTCTTAATATCAGAAGCGACATTTTGAAATCCTCGTTTTTTGAATAAAGGAAGATGTAGTATCTTAGAGTCCTTGCTCCTTGAAAAAAGGAAGAGATAAATCGTCAGATGTGTTCGTCCTTGTAAAAAGAGCCTTTCCTGACCTTATTCACGAGATATTTATTCCTCGACTCTCATTATCCTTAAGCTTAGCTATAAGCCATTGTCTATTTAAAGCCACTTATAAGACTTCGATAGTTTGAGAGCTATTTGCGGGATGTTTATTCCCCGCCTTGCTAAATGCTTATCCCTGTCTTCATAAGATGCTTGTTCCTTGCGCTCTTACTATCATCGAGTTTAGCTGTAAGACCTCGTCTCTTTTATAAAACTCCGATAGTTCGAGAGCTATTCGCGGGATGTCTATTCCCGCCTTATTAGATGCTTATACATGGCTTCGTGAAATGCTTATTCCTCGCCTCTCATTATCGTTGAGTTTAGTCGTAAAACCTCGTCTATTTGAGGCCGCTTATAAGACTCCGATAGTTTAGCTATTCGTAAGATGTCTATTTCTCGCCTCCCCAAATGCTTATCCCTGGTTTCGCGAGATACTTCTTCCTCGCCTCTCACTATTGTCTAGCTTAACGGTAAGACTTCATCTATTCGACGCTACTTATAAGACTCTGATAGTTTGAGAACTATTTACGGGAGGTTTATTCCCCACCTCGCCAGATACTTATCCCTAGCTTTACAAGATGCTTATTCCTCACTTCTCACTATCATCGAGCTTAGCTGTAAGATCTCGTCTATTTGAGGCCGCTTATAAGACTCCAATAGTTTGAGAGCTATTCGCGGGATGTCTATTCCCCATTTCGTCAGATGCTTATTCCTGGCTTCGTGAGATGATTATCCCTTGCCACTATCGTCGAGTCTAACTATAAGACCTCATCTATTCAAGGCCTGCTTTGCTTATAAGTCTTTGATGGCTTGCGACGAGCCACTAGGTTGATATTTATTCCTCATTTTGCAAAATGCCTCACCATATGAGTTATTGCATTATAGCCGCATTTTTATTCAAGAAAACTCATCATGCCTCTACATTACAACTATCTATCTTTCAGACTTTTGTTTTCGCTTCAATTATATTCATCTACCTATTTTCAAGGGGCTTATATTATCTCCTGCGCGGATGAATTATCCACCATGCAAGGATGTCAATTACTGCTTCGTACAGAGAGGGATGAGCCCACCTTATTACCTACGAAGACGAAGGCTTCCATGGTTGTATCAAACACTATGAAGGAAGCTCTTGCATAGAAGAGTAAGGCCCTTGCAATGAGGTAAATAAATAAAAAAGAAAGAAAAAAAAAATAAAAAAAGACTCAACAAGGACAAGTGTGATGCCTTTCACAATGAGCCATGCCTTGTTACCTTAGAAATCAATCTCTACTATTGCTGGACCAAACACCATGGAGAAAGCCTTTGACATGAATGTGCCACCCCCATGTAAGGACATTAGCTTATCACAGCTATATATATTCAGAGCATGGTTCTGTTACTCACATTCAAAGCACTGCCTCTGCAACTTATGTCCAAAGCATCGCCTCTGCTATTTACATTTAGAGCATCCCATCTGTATTAGTTTATCACAATTGCTTATATGTTTAGTTTCGTCTCTACATCAACTTCATTACAGTGGCTTTTATTTCAAGTTCGACCTGCATATAAATATTCGATGAAACTGAATATAGCATTATTGATGCACTGAGCTGTGCGAGTATATGACTTACTATGATGCATGATAGACTCTCTGCATATTATATTTTGGAGAAATTTGATATGCTACTTTCTTAACTATAGCATTATTGATACACTGAGCTATGCGAGCATATGACTTACTATGATGCATGACAACCTCTCTGTATATTATATCTTGGAGAAATTTGATATGTTATCATTTACTTTATCATCATGAATAATTTGAGGGACAAATGGGCCCCAAAATTATTTCGTACATGTGCAGTGGATATATTTAATTGTATTATAAGTTGGTTTAGTCCATATTACAAAGGAAATGTTGCCAAAATTTTGAAAAAATATATTCAGTATTTATCTTTCGAGGCAATTCATAAGTCATTGCCCATTTGGGACTAATGTGTATTTTTGAGACAGTTTGGAAGTCCTCACATTAGAGCTGTTCATATTTTTGAGGTAATTTGTAGGACCTCACCTAGTTGACTATTTATGTTTTGAAGTTTGACCTACACATGAATGTACAACTTGGGGGATTACTGTTATATCCATAAATTACATGACATGTGTGATGGAGGGAGTCCCACATTGGCTGACGTGACATCGACTATTTAATTTAATTGGGCCTATTAAATCAAGAAACTTCATATTGGGCTATTTAATTAAACAACTGCGTCTTGGGCTTGGCCCATTAATCATGTGGCCCGTTTACATATATATATATACACACTATATTATGGTATGTTTTCCCAACCATATCCAAACCCCTCTTCAGCTCTTGCACTCTTGTTATTTTTCGTTTAGTCGTTGACTTGACTGTCGAAATGCAAACGATCGTCAGACCTTTTTCTTGACCGGTAGTCTTTGCCTCCTAATGGAGTGTTCAATGTACACAAGTGATGTCCAAGTGGAAAAAGCAAGGTCGAAATTCTGTTGGGGCATTTTTTGAAGTCAACAGTCATAATATATTTCATACATTATCTTCCAAATTTATTTAATACTTTATAATTTATATACTTACGTACTGAACATGACATTCATTCGACTCATTAAATTGATTCTCTCAATTTTGCACTCAATTTACCTACCATGCCCTCGCTCAAAATTAGAGAGCGAGTCGCCAGCGGATCGTTTGAAACCCAAAATTTAGCCACGTGGCTATCATCCAGAGTTTTAATACATGTGTATGGAAAGTGTCTTTCTTCAAAATATTTTCTCCTTATAATACAGTGTAATAGAGAAAAAATACCAAACAAACATCAGATTATAGCGTGCTTTTGTTTCTGTTTTTCGTAAATTCTGAGTACATTTTTATCTATTTTTATCTGATCCCACGAAATCGAGTGATTATCTTGTATTTTCTAGTGAATGAGTTGGTGGGATCGAGTGTTTTTGATGAGATATGTTTCAGGTACAAATCATTTCCATTTTTATATATTGAATTATTGTCATAATAGTGACCATATTAATGTAGGATTGATTTTAAGGATTTTGAAACTCCATCCCACCCGCATAATTATGGAGCCTCTTTGTGAGTTTTGTGAGATGGCGACGGCGGTGATATACTGTAAAACGGATTCGGCCCGGCTTTGTTTGCAGTGTGACGGTCGTGTGCATTTTGAAAACTCATTGTCCCAGCGGCATCCGCGATCTCTCATTTGTGACAAGTGCCATTCTCAGCCGGCCGTGGTTAGGTGCATGGATTGTAAATTGTCGCTTTGTTCGGGTTGTGATTGGAATGGTAATGGTTGTTTGGGGCCGGACCACAGGAGGTTGAAATTGAATTTCTACTGTGGATGTCCTTCGCTGGCCGAGTTCTGTAAAATTTGGTCGTTGGTTCTTGATGAACCAAAGTCGAGTAGTTATGATAGAACAACGAGTACTACGAATGAGAATTCCATGAATACGGCACAGAATGATCGGGGGGATGGTGGGATGGTGGCAATCAGGCTAAATGAGTTAACATCCCCATCTCCTCTGTTTCAGTCAAATATTCCAAACTACATATCATCATTATACAATGCAAATCAAAAACCATTACTCTACAACGATCAAATGACTTTCTTCTCTGAAGGATCAAGCTTCCAAAAGGTAATCCTAATCAATATTTTTAGTATTGTGCCGCTGTTTGGTTCTTAACTGAAAGGTGATTATACTCTCAATTCTCCTATAGACAATACTAATCTTAAATGAATGCTAGCCTTTGATTTTTTTATTTTTTATTTTTTATTATTATTATTATTTTTTTTTTAACTGAACCAGGGATTTCCTAATAGTATTAAGGATCTTGGGCTTCGTGACAGTGATGATCTGTGTGACAATGTTGACATGGACAATATGGCCTTGAGCTTCTACAGTGGTTATCAGATGTTTGAGAATTTGCAAAATCAACCAAGTTACCATTATGATGATGGAGGAATGAGTAGCCTTGTCACCGAGAAAAACTTTTCAGTCACTGAATCTAATAGTACCCGTAATGAAAGTGCTATAGAGGTTGTCTTCCACCCCATAACTCTTTTTTCCTTCAAAATTATTACTTACAAAAATGATATTACTCTTTTCAATTACAAGTCGCGATTCAAAATACACTTATGATGAATATAAAATGTATCATTTATATCAAGAGGATCGTGTCATTGATTTTATGACTTCTCTTTACATTTTGTTCATTTCTATTCAATACCATTTGTTTACCTGCTCTTCAAATTCTATTTATAAGATATCTATTTGTTCATCTACTTGTGACTTTTATGTGTTATTAGGCATCATCATCATCAGGACATCAAGAGTGTAGGGGTTTTCAATCTTCACAAATTGGCATCTGTTCGACTAATTTGGTGCAGCCTATTAATAATGCAACTGCTAATTGCATGCTTATGCATCCAAATTGCACCAGCAATAATATTGGCTTAAGATTTCCCTGTGGACAACTTCCTTCAACCGTGTCCACTGCAGGTAGAGTGGCTGATTTTCAAGATTGTGAATTATCCCCCATATTTCTTGCTGGCGATGCACCATGGGAGTTGAACTTTGAAGGTAATTGTCAACAAGCAAGAGACAAAGCTAAGATGAGATACAATGAAAAGAAGAAAACAAGAATGTATGTGATTCTTTTCGTCCTTCCTTACATATATTACATTTTGTTCTTTTAATTTATGAATATGCAGTTTGCCTCTGAAACGTTGTTTTGTCTTAAGAGTAATAAAAGTCATAATTCATAGAGTAATACTCTTATCATTAGTAAGATGCATCCCCTAATTCATGGTCCAATGGAACTTATGGTTGCCGATTCTGAAAAACTTGTTCTTTCTGATTATAGGTTTGGTAAACAAATAAGGTATGCTTCTCGTAAAGCTAGAGCAGATACTAGAAAGCGCGTGAAAGGTAGATTCGTGAAGGCTGGTGAAGCTTATGATTATGACCCTCTTGTAGTAAGGGATTTCTGATCTAGAGGTTATTGGAATTTCCCATGGCTTTGAGAATTCATGTCCTTGATATAAAGGTATACAATATAATGGACTTCCTTCGATACTTCATTTAAGTCAATCCTATGTTTCCAGTATATTGAAAGGATTACAATTTGCATGGTTATTTTTTCTTCTTCGAATTATAAAGAGAATGACCTTGTTTATAAGGTTACAAATCTTACATCATCTCATGATGAAATATGCAGTTAGTTAAACTTGTATACATCAGATGAGGTTCATATGAATCATATTTTTCCTAGACCACATATCTTGAATTGGGATGTTCTTTAAATCTATTTCTTATATGTATATTCCTTTCCCGCCTCCTTTATTATAAGGTTATGCTTTACATGTTAGACTGCACAAGACAAAACACGACAACGAATAAACACTTGTCTTTCTTAATCTTGTGCATCTGAAACATCAAGTCATAATAGTTTGTATAAGGAAAAATGTTTGATCTTGATTCACTTGATGATTCTTGTCTCTATTCTATAGATCTAATTCATTTGAAAGGCAGATGGTGCTCCTAAACCATGAAGTGGGCTATAAGGCTAGCAACCAAAGAATGGCCTCCTTAAATCATTCCATATGATTTGTCTCCTACATATTGTTGTTCCCTCAGGTAATGTTAATTTGTTTCATTGTCTTGATAAGATGATGTCCAGTCACATTATTTGTCATAATCATTCTTAGAAAGACTTTATATGCAGTACTGAAATTGGACGTAGCTTCATTCATTCTTTAATATTGTCGTACAACAAACAACACTTTAGCTTCATTAGTGTGGTATAACTAACATGGCATTATATGTTCATTTGTATTACTAGTTTTTTTCTTGATTTCCGTTTTGATCTTAATAAATCTTGAAGGATGTACTGGTTGGAAGATACGTACACTAACAGAAGGATTTCATGCTGTTCACAGCAGAAATTACATCCATATTTCCATCTGCTCAAAACTCTTGCCACAAGAATAAAGCATTGTTGGAGGACAGTTTGCCTATGTTGTTATCGACATAGTGGAAAATAAGTTTTGTAATAAGCTTTAAAATATTTTTATCATTATGAAATTTGAAGTTACAAAAGTTGTTGGATCTGAGAAAGTTCGTTTGATAATTTAGCAGTTTAGTTCGTGTGCTATCTTTGATGCTTGTTTAGATGTTATTTCATGACTATAACTCAAGTTCTGCAAGACTTTACTATCAAGGGACGCCCCATTAGTTCGGTGTGGTACTTTCGATATTACCTAGGCAAGGGTAAACCCTAGTAACCAACAATCCCAACTTGAACAAAACCTAGAAGCGAAATTTCTTTTGGATTCGAGGTGGCTTGAAGTTCATGACCCCCTTCCTGACTTGGAAAACACAGGAAAATGCAAGAGTATTTGTGTTAGCATACACAGAGATTGTATGCAATACAAAAAGAAACATATTTTCTTTCATTTTTGTAAAGACTTGGAATCCATCTTAATAAGGTCAATCTTATTAAGTGGAAAAGTTTAAGATCTTTATAAATTGGTATTCATTTCGATATTAAACCGATGTGGGATAACACATCCCTTAATAGGCCCTCTTAAGATCGTGGCTCATTTGAGTTTGAAATACACGGGATGGCTCTGATACCATGTTAAGATTTGGAGTCCATCTTAATAAGGTCAACCTTATTAAGTGGAGAAGTTCAAGATCTTTATAAATTGGTATTCATTTCGGTATTAAACCGATGTGGGATAACAAATCCCTTAATAATTTTCAATGGCTAGATGTTCGCAATTTCCTTGCTTTGCAGTCGTTGCATCTTATGGAGCTAAAAAATGGATTGACAATTCAAAATTATATTCTCGAAGTGGAAGATTTATTGAAGAATATTAGTATCCTACCCCATCCATTAAAAATCTTGGCTATTAGGTATGAACTACTCATTCTACTTCAATGCATTCTAAACTATTCAGAAAGGTTTCCCATTATAAGGCCATAACTTGATCTTCCACGGGAATAGAAAGTCTAAACAAACCTAGAAAAGAAAGTCAATTTAATACCGTATCTGCCCACTTTTCCAAACTCTCACCAACGGCCATTGGCCTTTTCGATTGTCATAGTCAATTGAAAAAAATGAGTAATGTTGTTTTAATTTTAACAGGATTTGAAAGTATGCAAAGCAAATTTCTCAATTCCAACCAATATTAACAATGGTGTGAACATATTCTTGATCCCTCATCAATGTTCAATACATGTCGTGTAAGTACGTTTTAGTGAAATAGGATACAGAAAAATTAGTGATATGCGACTCAAAACATCGTTCTTGTGATTATTTAAAATTATTTTCTCTTTAAAATATATTAAAAAAATAATAAAAAGTGGGTTTAAAAATCAAAAAAATATATTAAAAACTAGTGAAAAGTGGAGTTAAAAATAAAAATCTATAAAAGAAGGTCAGAAATTGTTTTTTTACCCCCATTTAATTCTTGAAAAGAGCATATGACAGGCAATTCCATAAATCAATAAACAAAGGTATTATAGTGGAGAAATTTGGGCCCACGTCAAGTTGTTCAATAATAGAAGCAGCTTCATATTTTGCATATTATAATTATAAAAGTAAAATATAGAATTGCCTCGAATTGAATGGATCAAACATATTTCTTTTTGCAAATTGCAACCTTCGACGTTAAATTGCATTGGATTCCACTTCAGTTGACTTGCAAGTCAAAATCATTGCCTAAAGAACATTAATTTATATGTTCAATAATATAACTCACATAATTTGGAGCATTTAATTTTGTTAACCTGATATTATTGAGATGATGTGAAGTTATGGACACGAAGTTAGTTGTTAGCACGAAAAATTTCAAGAGAATATTCATAACGTGAATCCCAAATATTATAATTAGCAGATAAACTTCATTTTCAATTTTTTGTCATTTATGAATATCCTCTAGCTTAAAGACACATGGCAAGCGCTTTATTAACTATGATGTCATAAATAAAGGTTGGCATATGAATTAGGTTAATAAGATTGTCAAGTGACAAAGGAAAGATGCTCGACAACTCCCATTAAAGGTTGAACCCGAACTTTGGGGGCTCCCATCGCCCCACCCTTGAAGCATCACGAGGGAGGTAAATTGCGGAATGTGCTCCAACAGCTCAGGGAATAAGAGTTTGCCCGTACACTGGTGCCCACAAAAAGTCCAATTCCATATATCAGGAATCAAACCCTCACACTGCGACTATCAGTAAGGTTGAGACTACCTTATTTCTATTCTTTGCACCACTAGATTATGTCCCGAGGGGCTCGACAACTCCCATTAAGAAATCATTTCGTCCAGCTCCTTCTTTAGTTATTATTTTATTTTACTCAACCTCTTTCAATGATGCCAATGTAATTAGTTTGTCACCAATTGATGATAATGGTAGTATGTCCTTTAACTAACTTTAAAGTAAGACCATAACAGCACTTTTAGTTTAAAAGATTGATAATTAATGATCAGAAGAGAAGTACTTCTTGCACGCATCTAAGTTTATGGTCTAGGTGGAAATATATTTAATTAATGGTGTCACAAGCACCAAGCTAAGTTTGTCTATTATAACTAGGGAGTCAGGTTATACTGGGATTGGCAATACGGCCTATCAGTTCAGGTGATATGTTTGTATATTTATGTTCCGAACACATCTAAAATGGCCGACGAGATAATATTGACTATATAGAAATGAGCCTTATCTGATTGACATTACTTTTAAGCAAATGCACGATCAAAACCCCATGATTTTTAACTTTTCAAAGAAGTTGAACTTAATTAATAGAGGACCCTAATTCATTAATTGATTAGAAATTAATTGGATAAAGTCAGTCATGCACGGCAACAATTCTAATTGGGGAAAAAAAAATTCCATGTGTTGTGTTAAATTAATTGTCAAATACTCAATCCATTAAGTTTAAATAAATAACTTAAAAAAACTCAACGGTCAACAATTTGATCTAATTAATCAATGTAGAAAAGTATTTAAGAAAGCCCTCTTAGGCCAAACAAAAGTCCATTTTGGCAATTTTGTGATTGCTCATGTCAATTCAAATTCAACCAACTCGTGCAATTAATACAATAAATTAATTTTTCATTTCTTTTTTAATTTTAACCTATTCGTTGAAGTTTAGAAGCTCTAGCCATCGTCCATAGACCCGCTACGAAATTGAAATTTAAAGATGCATACATCAAAGAAAATGAATGACAACCCAAACGCAAAATTTACTAAGGGTCCTTTTGATTACAAAGATGAAATTAAATTGAATTGAATTGAAAACGAATTCCAAGGAATTGAATTACCTAAAATTTGTTTTTCTGAGAATTGTAAATTATTGTGTTTTATTGATATAAATTTCCACATGAAAAATGTTAAAATAAAAGTATTTTTTGTGTTCATTTGACTTTATTTTACATGAAAAATTATCAATTAAAAAGATAAATTTTACTAGTATTGAAAATGAAATTTGTTTCCATTGCCAACAAAAATAAAAAACAAAAAAAAAAATTCAAGAAAATCATCTATCTTTTAATGTTCATTTGGCTTTATTTTAATGAAAAAAAAAAAAAAAAAAAAAAAAAAAATCTACAGTAAACTAGAATTTCCTTGAAAATTTCCAAAAAATCTAAGAAATTCAATTCCATGGTAAAAATAAGCTATCAAACACCCTTTTTGTGGAAGTTGAAATCCAAATTCCATTTTCTAGGGAAAATTTTGTTAAATCAAACAGTGCCTAACAGATAAGGAACCTTATGAATTAAAGTTATGTGATAATTTATGAATAAATTATAGCTTCACATGGATAGCAGCTCTCTTTATAGCTTCTATAGTTTTAAAAAAAGTTGAATGAAAAAAATTGACGACAGCTCTTACGGATTATAAATCAACAGCATCTACTGGTAAGGATATTGTCCTCTGAAGATTTTGAGGAAGCAATGAACTAGAGAACAAACTCTCTTGAATATCCACCTCGAATTTTCCGGTCCTTATGGTGGTCCGAACTCGGGCAGCTTTTCAAACTCGTGTTCTCATCATAATCAGAAAGTCCGACAGTTTTGTACGATACAATCCCAGCTTCATCATTCCGGTTACTATTATCCAAAGTCGAACAATGATTTGAACATCTTGGAAGAAAGTCTAACCATTGATCTGTAAGTTTCTGCACTTCTATCTGATTCCATCTCAACTCGTGTTGAATTTTGTGGTCGTAGTCGACAGGCATGTCTTCGGCCAATGTGTGAATCCCTGATAAAGATTTCGAAAACATTCTTGTACTGGAAGTCAATTTCTTCTTAATCGCCTCTGTCTTGTCCTCCTTGCTACTTTCTTTATCCATCTTTTCTTCTTGATAATGACTTCCACCAGAGAAGTCTATCGAGCTGCATTCATGACTTCCATTCTGATTCCAAATTTTGGCACAATGTAAACCATTAGATGGTTTATTGGCAGCATTGCATGCATTGCCATTTTGACGGGGACTGTCAACTCGATAAGTGAATTCTTCAAACCGTCCACGTGTAGCAGTACATCCTTCTGAACACTGTATAAACTGCAAAGGTTTTGCACCAGGATTATTTGACAGAAAATTCAAGAATGAACCAGTTGAGGTATGATTAGAAGCACAATTAAGACAGAAGTTGGAATCTGAAAACTGGGGAGTCTCATCATATCCGGGCCCTGGTTGCCATTCTGGAACCAGTAAAGCAATTTCTCCATCAATCATATCGGCTATTTTAATGACATCTTGATCGGTTATATCCAACTCTGCAACCATTTCGGTTGCAACACTTAATGCTGTATCAGTTTCAAGGTCAAACGGGAAATATATGTTTCTGATCCTACCTGCAAAAGGAGAAATCGTAATGCAGTTGATCAGAGTAATAACGAATAATTAATTAAATTAGATACACTCGAATAGTTGTATTATGTTGCTAACCTTCTTTATCCGATATTCTGAGTCTCATAAAGATGTTTCCATCTTCTTTTCTCTTACCCTTAATAGTTATATCGAGCTCAGAAAAATCCTCATCATGTTCACCATCGTTATGCTCAAACAATTCAATTCCCCTATGCCCGACCTCCAT